TGGTATCGACAAGGTTTTGTCGGAGTCCAAAGATGCTCTCATTTGTACACATGAAATGTTTGTCAATTACACCTTCAGCGCTTGTTACTATTGGAATGGTCTTGATTTCCTTAAGGTTCCAGTTTTGTTTAGTTTCCACTGCTAGCTCAGCATATCTGCTAATTTTCTCTATGTACGTACGACTCATGTTTCTGGTAGTAGGGATTGCAATATCAATGAAATAGCATTTATGTTCATTCTTATCAAGAATCGTGATATCTGGGCGGTTATCGAGTCTCGTACGATCTGAGTAGATTGTTCAGTCATAGTATATCTTGACATCTTCATTCTCCATAATTGGTTGTGGATTATATCTGTAGTACGGTTGTTCCTCTGCTTGGAGTTTCTATTTACTAAATAGGTTTTTGTGGAGGATCTTCACGACGTTATTTCTTCGCGTGTACTCTGTTTGTGTCAAATTCGTGCATCCTGATATTATATATTCAATGGTTTCGGTTTGATTCATACATCTTTTGCAAGTATCATTGGAGATATTTGAATCTTTTATGACATTCTTTCTACTATTTTTCGTTGGGATTACTAGGTCTTGTATGACGAACATAAAAGCTACGGTCACAGCATACAAGTTTCTATTTAATAGCAATTTGTTTGACATTAATTTATAAATATTGTCAACGTTTATGGACCTGTAGAATCGGCCGTGAATAGGTTTTATTGACAACTTTTGTTTTCTTAAGTTTTGTTTTCAGCTTATCGGTTGAAACTTCCATTTAGGTTGAGAGATGTTCAATTTCTAAATGCCGCAGTTATTATTTCTATAAGTCGAGATTTTTCCAATTTAAGCTGAAATTACTGGCGAAAACACTCTCTTTGGTTGTCATGGAGAGTTTGGAGATCGACTAGCCCTTTCGGTGGCTCGCAAGTGTGGCAAAAAACAGCAAGTTACTACCTTTTCTGGCTGACGCAAAACAACAACACTATTTTCTCTTTTAATATTTAATAAATAATAAATAAAAAATTGTACAGTCTAAATAAAATTTTATATAAACATAGTAGTGAATAAATATTTTAAAAAAAATGCGCTTAAAATAATTTTTATATCATTTTGTATGAAATTTTGTGCAATTTCTTTTTAAATATATATAAATACAAACAAATTTTCAAACTACAATCATGGTTCAAACTGCTGATAAAGTTGTCGCTGTAGATGATGAATCTGATGAAGCCACTGAGATTCACTGCCAGAAGAAATCTCACGGCGGTTTAAGTTATGAAGTGATTTTAGCTGAACCAGCACCATATGTTACTCTACCAAAGCGTCCACTTTCACCTAGTAAAAATGTCTCAGCTAAACAGATTGAGCAAAAATTGATGGCTGCCGAAGAGAGGCGTATTTTATTGGACCAAAAGAAAATAGCAGCTTTAAACAATAAGTTTGCTAAGATTGAAGAGGCAAAACGTAAAAAGGATGAAATCGCCAATGAATTCATCAATCAAATGAAGGAACAATTGGAATCTAAAATGGAATATTATGTGGAGAAGCGTGAAGCTATTTTTAGTGACCTAAAGAAAAAATTGAATATTGATTCACAAGAAATTGAAAAATTGGAGCAGCAAAAGATTTCTGAAAAGGTGTCAATCGAAGGGAAATTGAAAAGCGCTCTGTCACTGAATGATGATTATATTGATAAGATGTTGGAACGCCTTAAGGATCTTAACGCAAACAAAGTTGCAGAAATCAAAAATCAAATCGATCAATTGGAATCACAGAAAATTGAACATTATAATATAAAATTAAAAGAGGTGCAATAGAAGAAACGAAGATACAAACTGAAACCGAACACCAGTTCCGTAAGATTAACGACTATTTAAAGGAAAACTCCAAAAATTTTTATACTTATCAGCTCAAAAGTAGCAAGGGAATAGCAGTAGTTGTTAAAGGCATCGAACCGAATGCTGATACTGAAAAAATAAAAATTGCTGTTGAAAATGCTGGCTTTGAGGTAAAATCAGTTTTTAACATAAAAAACAAAGATAAAATTCCTCAACCTTTATATAAAATTGAATTAGAACCAGATACTAAAAAATTAAAAAATAACGAGATTCATCCAATTTACCACTTGCGTTTCTTGCTAAACCGTAAGATAACAGTGGAGGAGCCTCATAAACGCAAAACTCCAGTGCAATGTCTAAACTGTCAGGAATTTGGGCATACTAAAAGTTATTGTACTCTGCGCAAAGTTTGTGTGGCCTGCGGTGGTGCTCACCACTCAACTCAATGCAGTACAGATAAAAACAACATTAATTCCAGAAAATGTAACAACTGTGGTGGTAATCATACTGCAAACTACCGTGGCTGTCCAATTTATATCGAAATTAAGAATAAAGCTATCCCACGCTCCGAAAAGGTACCAAATGCTCCATCCATAATTCCACTAAATCCAGTCAATATTAACCAAACAAACACAAAAGAAGTTGAAACAGCTAATTCATACTCAGCCGTCTTAAAAAATGGTTTAGTTAAACAAATTCCTGAAAATTCAGTAACCCCCAATCAAAACTTAGAATCAATGCTAATAACTCTTACCCAGCTTATGACGAACTTTATGGCCTCAATGCAAAACTTAGTGCAAGATATAGTAAAAACTCAAAACCAAATGATGCAGTTTCTTTCAGCTAATAAATGAACTGTCTTAGAATGTGTCACTGGAATGCCAACGGCATCCGCCAGCACAAACTTGAAATCATAAATTTTCTGTCGTCCCACAATATTGATGTTTTTCTAATATCTGAAACCCATCTATGTAGTAAACACAACTTCTCTGTACCTGGATTCAATTTCTACTTCACAAACCATCCTGAAGATAAGCCCCACGGGGGAACAGGAATTCTAATTAATTCAAGAATTAAGCATCACGTCCTAGAACAGCACTCCACAGCCCACATACAAGCTACGTCAATATGCATTAAATTCATTGAAGATGAAGTCGTGCTCAGTGCTGTCTACTGTCCTCCTAGATTTCTTGTAACAGAAGCTCAATTCGTGGATTTCTTTTATAATCTCGGTAAAAAATTTATAGCAGCGGGAGACTTTAATGCTAAACATACATACTGGGGCTCCCGTCTAATAAACCCAAAAGGAAAGCAACTCTACTCTACCATTACAAATCGCCGCAACAATTTAGATTTCATATCATCAGGACAACCCACTTACTGGCCATCTGACCCCAAAAAAATACCAGATCTAATCGACTTTTGTGTAGTGAAAAATATTGACCGCGAACTAATATCTGCGCACTCTAGCTTCGAACTATCATCCGATCACTCTCCAGTTTTTATAACCTTATTTAAGGTACCTATAAGCAATCAAAGCGCATCAAAACTGACGTCAAAGAAAACCAATTGGCTAAGATATCGTCAATATATTAGTAGCCACTTAGATATAAACCCATCTCTACAGTGTGTAAGTGAAATCGATTCGGCTCTTAATGGATTTGACACAGTTTTAAAATTGGCTGCTAAGCACGCTACTCCTACTGATAAGATAACTTTTACTAGATCTACAAGAAAGTCTTCAGATGCAATTGAAAATATCGTCAGAGAAAAAAGACATCTGAGACGTATGTGGCAAAAGCATAGATCACCTACAAGTAAATTCAAGTTTTTGGCAGCTAAACAACGCCTAAAAAAAGCATTGCTCATAGAGATGGAAAATAGTTTGAACACCTACGTACGAAAGCTAACACCTACAGAAAGTACGAATTATTCCCTATGGCGATCGGTAAGGAAATTAAAAACACCTAAGGAGAGTGCACCACCGCTCAGGCAAGCCGACGGAAAATGGGCTAGGGATGAAGTAGACAAAGCAAATGTGTTCGCAGACCATTTAAGTCAGGTATTTCAACCAAATCCTCCGACCAATAACTTTGAACTACCAATTCAATCTCCTCTAGTCAATTATGGGCGTCTTAAACTCAAAACCAAACAGATTCAACAGGTTGCAAAAACCCAATTATGTGTCAACAAGTCCCCAGGATATGACCAAATTACAGCAAAAATGCTAATAGAGTTACCTCAAATAGCTTTCAAAATACTGTCAAAAATATTTAACGCAATACTTCGACTTGGGTACTTTCCTCAAAGCTGGAAAATTTCACAAATTATAATGATTCCAAAACCAGGAAAAAACTTAACATTACCGTCTTCATATAGACCAATAAGTCTTTTACCAATGCTGTCAAAACTTTTTGAACGAATGCTTCTCGGGAAGATAACAACATATCTACAGCAAAATAACATAATACCTCACCACCAGTTTGGTTTTCGTGCCAAACATGGCACCATCGAGCAAGTGAATCGCATAACAAATGAGATTAGGAAAGCATTTGAAGATAAAAAATTCTGCTCTGCTATATTTCTTGATATAGCACAAGCTTTTGACAAGGTTTGGCACGCTGGACTTATTTATAAAATCAAGGAACTCACTCCTGACTACTCTCACAAAATACTAGAGTCATATCTTCAGGACAGGAAATTCCATATAAAAGTTGGAAGCCATACAACAGCTAATCTAGACATAAAGGCTGGAGTTCCTCAAGGCAGTGTTCTAGGTCCAATACTTTATATCCTGTTTACTTCGGATATACCAAGCAACTCTCGTCTTGTGACATCTACGTTTGCTGATGACACTGCTGTCCTTAGTTCTCACCAAAATAGATTCATAGCATCTAGGGACTTAATTGAACACCTCGAACTCATTGAAACATGGTTAGCCAACTGGCGCATTCGTGTAAATGAAAGTAAATGCACACATGTAACATTTACCCTACGTAAGGATACATGTCCCCCAGTAACCTTCAACGGCATCACCATTCCGCAATCAAACACCGTATCGTATCTGGGTGTTCATTTGGATAGGAGACTAACTTGGCGTAAACATCTAGAAGCTAAGCGAACGCAAATAAAACTTAAGACGCAAAAAATTCACTGGTTATTGCATAAAAATTCCAAGTTACGGCTAAACCACAAAGTGTTACTCTACAATAGTTTACTTAAGCCAATTTGGAAGTATGGCGCTGAACTATGGGGTAATGCATGTTCCTCCAACATTGAGTTAATTCAGCGTACTCAATCCAGAATCCTTCGTATAATTACTGGGGCTCCGTGGTATATAAGAAGTGATAAAATTCATGAAGATCTGAAAATACCACTAATCAAAGATGAACTCACTAAAATCAAATGCAAATACAAACAAAAACTTGAAATTCATCCGAACCACCTTGCAAGGAATCTATTGCTAACGCGGCCTTCGTCAAGATTACGCAGAAAAGATGTACCAACGCACTGATTCCTTTTTCTATCTTTATATATTTACTTATTATCAACCTTATTTAAACTTTAATTTACTTCAATTTAATATACTTTTTTTTTTCTTTTTCGTTTATTTTTTATTTTTTATTTTATTTTATTTATTTCTTTATTCTTTGCTTTTCATGAAATAACTTTAACTTTAATTATTATCAATTAACTGCAGTTATAATTGTCAGTTCATTTGTTTGCTTTAGTTTTTTTAAGATTTGAATACTTATTGTAAATCTTCTTATAAAAGAGATTCAATAAATAAAATAGATATTTAAAAAAAAAAAAAAAAAATAATAATAAAATTAATTATCTATAACAAAGTTTCTGATCTTTGTCTTATTATTAATTCTTTATTAATTATATTTTATCATTAATGTAATTATTCATATTATTATAAATTTATTATATTGTTTTGATTTACTCCTTCATTTAAAATAGTTCCTTATAAGACAAATATTACATCGAAAAAAAAATAAAAGATAAGAGATAGCCATTTGGCCGTTCTTGTAATAATTCTTTTTATCATTAAATATATTATATAAATAGTACTTTTTTTAATTATATTATTTAATGATTATTATATTTTTTTTATTTATTTAGCACAATCGCTACTGTATTAGAAATAAAATCCCATGTTTATAAGTAATAAACTTTATGGAACCCAAATCGATTCATGTTTTTGAATACAAAACATCGAATCTTATAATAAATTTATAAAACAAATATTTTTTTATATTCACATAATATTGAATATGTAAATAATTACATATTATTGCACTTTATACGTTTACACTGTAAAAACAATTGTGCAGCAAAAAGTGCAATGGTACAATAAAAATGTGCTAATGGTTTCGATAATTATAATTGTAAACATATTATTAATTAGTTTTATGTCATTATATTGATAATTGAATGCTTGTAGGTATTACTTTCATGAAGTGTTGAAATTGAGAATGGAAATTATATGTTGATGAAATATCCTCAACACCCAATACAACGCTACTTTACTATGTATTTAATGAATGAGACTTTAGTTAAGGTCATGCTGGCGATCTTAAAGATCCAACTGTACCTGATGGCCTATTGTGTGTGTTACTGTAAAAGAAGTCAAAGGTTAAAAAACACTTTGAAATTACAATAATTTTTAGAGGACGGTTCTGTATCTGGCCATGTTACTCAATAAAGGAAGTTCCTAGCATAAGGTTTTAACATAAGAGTACTAACTACATTGTTCAAAATGAAGAGTTAGTGATAGATTTTAACGATTTTGGTTAAAGCTGTAAATATTTTGAATTAATTTAAAGTAGGTTATTACGCTGTTGCTATGTGATCTGTTTAGGTATTTTAGCCTGCAAAATTAGAGACTTGGCTAAGTCAATAGACTTACTTGTGGGAAACTTGGTTTACTTTCACTTAAATAAGAAAGTTGTACCTTTTATAGTTGTCTATACGATTTTCACTACAATCTTTTTGGGGGTCCTTCTGGTCTGCATATGAACAACGCTAATCAGTGTTAAATCAACGGTCCATTATTTTAGCTCTAGTGTGTTTTTGGGTGTACAAGTCAGTCATACAAACTTAATCTAAACTAGGTTTACTGGTCTATTGTTTTCCTTTGCGTAGACTCAAATGATTTATAATCATTTTGAACTTTTAATGATGGCCAAAATGCGTTTTTAATGGGAGATCTTGCAACTAAGATCGAAATGTACTGAATATTGACAAAGCAAATTTGAAGCACTTTGTTCATTTTCGTCACAGGGTCGGTTAGTATTATTGAAGGGAGTATTTTAGCATAGTTTCTAACCAAGAGTGATGTGCCAGCCAGCAAACTCACTATTAGATTGACATTTCTAAGAGGTACAAGTAAGACAGATTGTTAAATTTTTAACTATTTAAGATGGACCTACTTGTGTACCATTGTCTTTTTATTGTTGGGGTCTTTACATTTCCTATTACAATGTTTTATATAGAAAGAATTCAACAACCGTTTGCCTAATACCAGTGGTTAGTGCAGGTTTTTAAAATATTCCGACTATATTTTTAAGATAACCAGTCCGGCGTTATATCATCTACATAGCAATTGTCATAAATGCATGTAGAATAGAATAGAAATAAGCAGAGTAACAGCTTCCAACGGAACGGAGCACTGCGACCACGGATGATCTATTGTGCTGTAACAGACCCTAACCGAACAGAAGACATTTCGCCTTCCGCATGAAAGCCAAAATGTCAACCGTTGAAGACCTCCTAATGTCAGAAGTGGAGATTAAATGTTTGTTTGTTTTAGAAGAATTTTATATATAATTTGTGTAATTTTTTAAAATAACATCTGTTGTATCTCATGTTCAGTTGTTCTCATACATAATTTAATTAACGAAAAACAATAAATACAAAATATAATAATATTTTTTATTATTATTTTTGTGATAACAACAATAAAAACACCTTTTAGTTTTCATTTTTAATTATAACATACGATGGAAAAATTTTTATCTTCATCAGACCGATTTGCAAATAAACTATTATAATTGCTAATTAAGACTTAATGATGCATTCATTTCATATATGCATATATATAATTAATGCATTGTTAATATATTTAAATGTTGAAATGTTGAACTTAAATGCAGTAAACTATTTCAACAAAGAGCGATTGTTTTTAATCATTTAATGTAATTACCGATTACAAATAATAACAACAAGAGCGTTGACTCTGCTATTATTTATTACGTATACTTTATTTATAGAATTAATTTAAATTATTAATTGAGAACACAAAGTTCATAGCTGAATCAGTTTAAGAAGCAAGCGATTTATTTCTTTTGAATAATTATAACAACAATAACAATGACAATAACAACAACAAAAACAAAAACATTGCAAAACTATGGCACAACCTTCAGGCAGGCGGCGCTCACCAAAGATTGGCATCGATTATTCACAAAACACATACAAATTGAAAATCAGGCGATTTTGCTTATCAGCAAAAAAAAAAAATGAATAAAATTAGTTGTGCGAGACGGAGCGGTGGGACGCTACGATGACGCGGTTTATTATGATTTTACGTTTTTGAAAGAGCGAAGTACAAAATATTATTTCGCAAATTCATTTTTATTACTTTAAACACATATAAATGGCATATTAAACAAAATTAAAATGAAATTGTTTTAAGGCTTCTTTTTTGCCTTGCAAACTTACTGTAAACAATGGTATATGCTCTCGTATTGTTGTTTTTCTCTTGTTTAAGGTTTTATTATTTTCCGCAATATATATCTTGAATTTATAATTGTATTATTTTCATAAACATTAAGTTTATTATCAGTACTTCACATATTAAATTTAATTTTAAACTTTCCATAGCCAAATAAAAACAAGTCTGCAAATTTTCTTTTCTATGTTTTTCTTTTACATTTTAGTGTTGGTAAACAGGTAAAGTATATATTCATTGAAATTTTAACAGCAATTCACAATAAAATGTAATTGTGTCAGTTTAATTTAAAAATGTTAACTATGTTCATTTTGCGTTTTTCTTTGATATATGAAACAAATTTAATATATATTGTATATTGCAAACTTTGAACACTCTTTTTATAACAATAAAATATATTTATTGTTACAAATATTCCAATATTTATTTATTTATTTAATAAATTGTTAACATTAATTTATTTGATATTAAAAGTATGGCGGGTGTGTCTACGGCCGTGTGCGAGTTCGAGTAAATTGATGCTAAATTTAGTGAAATAGTAAATTATGTCGGTATGGCAGCGAATGTTGACATTTACTAGAATTTTAAGTAGGGTAAATAAGATAAAAATTAGATATTACCATTGTGAAAATTTTATAAGATGTTTAATAACTAAATAAATAAATTTGAAAACTTTTAACAAAAGATAATATATAAGTGCAATAAATAAGTGTTAATAAGTGCAGTGCTAAAAATCCCTAGCAAATTTCAATTTACTTTACCTCAATTTACTCGAACTCGCACACGGCCTATATAAACATTTGCAGCCTATTGAATTATTTATTATATTGTATTTAAAAAACAATTATTTACAATTTATTTATAATTTATTTGTTGCACATGACTACATTTTGTTCTATTTTATAATCATAAGTAATACTTAATGTTCTTTTACAGGTTGTATTTAAAAATAATAATAAAAAAAAACAATTTCTCAACTAAAATTTTTTATATATATATATACACGAAAATAATAAAAACGATAACGATAATAATAAAGACAAAAATCAAATGTTTTATAATTTTTGGTAATATTTTGAATTTATTTTGAATTTGTATAATTTAAATTTTATTTATTTGTTTATCAAAAATTCTTTTTTTCTTGTTTATATTTTAATATTTTTTATAGATAGTTTTCGAACAGTAGTGAATTGCAGCAACAAAATTTTTATTTATTTTTAATTAATTGTATTTTTGACTGACCATACAACTGTGTCTATTATTGCCGAATACCCATTATCAGTGGTCTTGAAATTATAATTGGTATTATATTGTTTTTTGACAGCATATAAAAGGCATGAATATTCTGAGTATTTTTAAAATCGTCAGTCTTTATCACGCAGCGCTGAATGCTTAGGCCGTCCTCAGACTTTCATTCGCAGCTAGCGGGCTTTCAAAACATATAAAATGAAGCTTAAAGAAGGTTTCGATTTATATAATCCACTTTTAAAATTGGATAAAATGAGCAGTTACTAGATAAAAATACACCACCGAGTATGCTGTCTGTATTGGAATTAGTTTTAAAATATAATTAATCTGAAATAATATCAAAATATAAATAACAATTGTTTCTTCATAGTTTTACATGCAGCTTCGCTATATCACTTCACTTGTGTTCGACATCCATATATGATTTCAAGAATTATCTGAAGTATAACCTATTTTTTTTTATTATATCAAATAAATTATATGTATGTATTTGGTTTTTATTTCAAATGAATTAGTTTTACGAATTTCATAGTAAATATATCAAATGAATTATGAAATGTGATTGTAAAACTTTAGAGCTCAAATTTGTATTCGATATAAAACATATAAAAATCGAAGGTTTTAACGAAACTTGTAACCGAAATGAATATTTCAATAAATGGTTACTCATTGCGAAATTTTAAATTCGAATTTGCATTGATTTTGACTACATCACTAGTCGCTGCTGCGAAATTTTATTTCAGTTCTTCGGAGAACTTCGTTGTGTATGGTTTGCTGTCGTTGTCTGGACGGGATTGTGAATAAGAATACATGAAAGAATAATAAAATAAAAAGAACTGACAAATTGTTAAACAGCAAAAGTGAAACAAGTGTGTTCAATTAATTCAAAATTAACAAGTGCTGGTCTCAATATTTTGATATATTGGTACGCAAAATAAACATTGACGGCGACTACATGTAAGTACATTTTACCCTATTCAATTTTGAAATTCTGCAACTGTCGTCCTTCATTTTGTGTGTACATGTAATAATTGCATTTTTCTTCCTATCTACGTATGAGCGAGCATTCTGTTACTATGTACCATTTCTTCTGCAACCTCTTATTTAACCTTTTATTGATTAATAACTTATAAATATTATATTATCAAAATAAATTCAAGTCTATATAGAAAAATAATATCGACTTCAAATACGCACAACGATTTTGAGTTAATATATCTTGAATATGTGTTTTGGCCTACAATTACGCAGTTATATATATTTTAATGTTTAATCAAAAAAGAAATGTTCAAATCATATGTTTTTCTGTGGTCAATTCTGTGCTTTTACAATAAAACAAAAACAACAATACATTTTATATAAATTTTTATTTATTCTGCTTTTATGTTTTTATCATTTATTTTTTCTTCACTAATCTTTGTCAATTCTTTGTTTTCATTTGTTTTTTTACTTGGCTACGTTGCTATGCTTTTTTATGTACAGTGGCGGTTAGGACTTTTTAATAATATCTTAGAAAAAAAATTAGTTGTGTAAATTTCGTTTTATAAATATTTTTTTTAATAAGTTTTTAATTTTAAAAAAAGTTACATTTATTAGTTTGGTCTAAAATTTTTTATTATATATGACTCTAGTCTAAAAATTGAAGTGGTATATTTAGAAATATAATCAAAACTCTTATAATAAATAATAAGAATTATTATTGTTGATGAAGATGGTCTACGAAGTATATCGAACTATTTTTTATATAAATAATTTTTTATAAAAAATAAAAATATAATTAATTATTAATTATGTTAATTAATTAATATAATGTAATTTTTATTTAAAAACACATAATTTTATATGTTAAATACTCGAGATCTATAAAGAAACAATAAAAAAAAATTGAATTTTGGACGTATTAATAATATATTACGAATAAATAAGTGTATTTTTTTTTTTAAATTTATATGTGTTAAATAAATGACCTAAGCCTGATGAAAATTGAGAACTTATTAATAAAATTGGTCATATTACCAATTTCTTATAAATATTTTTTTTTATAATTTTTAATTTCACTTTAAAAATGTATAATCTACAAGTATTAACATAACTATAAGACAGGTTTCACTAATTAGATAGATTTAATGTTTAAAGGGTTGCTGCATATTCTACATTGCCTAGGCTTTAGGTTATGAATGGAAAATCCAGCAGAAACAATACGGTAGTCAAAAAAATCTTACTGAGCTAACAGCAAAATATAAACTATTATTAAACTGATATTTAATTAAATTAATTTCTTTTCGATGATACAAACTTTAAAAATATGTACATATATATGCTGATATAAATTACAAATTGTACCAAACATAGAACGATAGAATTAATTACACAAACCAAGTTGTTGTTGTTGTTATAATCCTTATCAATTTACATATGGATAAACCATGGAATGTCATATTGCTTTTCGTTTGTGATACCACAAAAGGTTTCGTTATGTAGACTGGTAGCTTCTCAGAACTGAACATATGGTTGATGTCAGCAACGTGAAAAGTTTAGACAAATTGTCTAATTGGATCCATATATTATTTATAATGAATGTTTTTTTATATGCTTATACATTTCAATGCAAGCTGTTGGATACATCTTCCTTGTTCTATCAATTTGATTGTAAATCAAACTTTTCAGTATTCATTTTTTCGTGTACCATGTGATGTTTGTCACTATTTACTTAATATATTTTTAGTTGTTTTAATTACTCAGTTAAAAAGAGCAAATTATGATGACTTAACGTTATTTGATAAACTTAAGACATGGTACGTAATCATTCTTTGGAATCAAATGAAGATAATAAACTTAAAATTACCATATATAGTGCGTATCAGATAATCATTATAAAAAAATTATTAGTCATTTAATTTGTAAATGTTGCTATGAGGATAAAATTGATTATTTATATAACTTTTTATGACTTCCAGATAATTTTGTCATTTTAAATGTTATATTTATACATATTTATATATATGTATTATTTACTTTAGATATATTAAGTGAAAACATTGGTAGTTGTGCGACAATTTTTTAATAAATACGGTCTTATTGTGGTGAAATAAAAGCAAAGCATTTTGATGAGTTAGTATTATGATGATTAATTCTTATCTGAGCTATTGGCTAATAGAGATAGAATTAAATTATATGAGTTATTACTTCTTAAAACTCTTATTTCTAGAGTTTTTTTATTATTTTGTTGAATGTTTTTTTAATTGTTAGCCTGCTAACTTCCAAATTTAGTATTTTTTTATTATGAAAACATTTTTATTAAATTTAATTATTTTTACCAAAAGGTACTTTTCTAATAAAGACAAAGAATGTATTTGTTTTGTTTCTTGTTTTGTTTTGCTATTCGATTCCTTGTAACTTTAAAAAGAAAATATTTTTATTGATATAAATTATTATATTTCTTTTAATTATACATTTATTTACTATATTATCCGCATGTATCTTAAAGTGTATAAAAATGCACTTTGTACGTATTATCAATTATAAACAATTAATTATCAATTATCAAAGTTAATTATTAAAGTTTTCTTTATATACAGAGTGTTTTTCATTACATTAACATTAAAAAATGATTCCATAGTCCGAGATATCCAAAAAGACATGAAATTTATTTTAGAAGCTTACGCGTAAAAAACTAGTCAAAAAAATCCTTAATACTGGATCCACGCGATATTTCTGTTTGTAATTTTAGCTGTCAAAAATTTTCATTTTACATTAAAAGTAACAACAATTGACAGTTAAAACTACAAACACGACAGCTGAAATTACAAACAAAACTAACGTGTAAATCCAATATAACATCTCTAACATAATTCATCTTAAAAGCTCAATTTTAATATGATAACTAATATGTTAAGTACTGAAATGGCTTTGCATATTATATGTATTTCTTTTAATTTTCATATATTTTTATTATATTCACATATAACTCAAGTACGTTAACTATAGCTGCACTTTATTCTCGAAGTAAACCCTTAACTTTGAACTTTTGTCACATTTTTGAAATATGAAACGCTACTGTTTAACATAATGCAGCAGCAGCTGTTTCTCTCTTTTGTTATTGTTTTACATATTCTTCTGTCCTTGATTATATTTTCTGTTGCTTGTTGTGCCTCTGTTTTTTTTCCATTGTTTTGTTTTGCTTTTACGCTCTTTCTCAAATTGCACAGAGCTGCCAGTAAATGTGTTAATGATTTACACAAAATAAGTGTTTGTGTGTGGCCTTTAAAATTTATGTTATTCTAATGAATATATGCTTAATTCTTAAAAGTTATATACATATTTAAGCTAAATATTTTAAAAAAATTTTTTTTTTTTGTATATTTAATATGTTATTTTAAATATTTTCATATAAAACCTTACATATACTCTCCTGCATTAGTGAACATCTTACACAAAAAAGGTACAAAATTTGTGTATAAAGTACAAAATGGCAGAACAAATTTTTACAGCTCTCAATCTGCAGTCCAGTTAATTTTTGAACTTCGTGGAATCAATTTTAATTCAAATCTAAGGTTTTGCAAGATATTTTCAAAATAAAAATAATATATTTAAATAAATAAACTTTAACGAATTTACAAATTTATTTTTTATTCTTATTTATTATTGTATTTTGTAAGTTTAAGTGCAGTAATTAAATTTTTGTACTTTAATCTAGAATTCACAGTGTGTAATAATAATTATTTAAATTTTGTTATCATTATTTTAATTATAAAACACTTACAAAAATTGATTTATATCATTTTTCTTTTTAATTATGAGCCAATGTCTTTATAATTAAAAATTATTTCATCTAAAGCCCGTGCCCGTGCCCGTGCAAGCAACAAAATACAACAACAATTTTGTATTTCAAAATTTTTATATTTTGCTCATGCGTATGTATGTAGTGTAAGTGTGTGTTTATCACGAAGGTGGTGATGAGGAGTTTAACAAAAAAAAAAAAAGTATACAACAACAATTCAAACAAATTGGAAAAGTGGCTGACAACATTAACAAGAACAACAAAAACAGCACAAAAAGAATTGGGTTTTTTTTAGTTTTGTTGCGCAAAGAAAAACAAATACAAAAATAGTATAAAGATTATAAGAAAAAAGAGTTTCTTAAATATAAATAAATTGTTGACACCTGATTTTTAAACATTCATCGAATGCAATATATATTATTAGCAATTCAAAAAAAAAAAATTAAATGTGTAAAATATTTAATTTGTGTTTGTGTTCTTTGCTTTGTAGGCAGCAAAATTATTTTTATTACAAATTGCCATATAAACAGATCTTCTTCTTCAAATTAAATCGTACTTCAAATTAATTGTATGTTATTGTCATTCATTATTCATATCTAAATTATACCACCCACAAACTTTTTTGTCCCCCCCCACCATTACACAAATGTTTTAAGTTAATTACCTTTAGAATTCAGTTGGCCAGACAAAAAAGAACACACAAGTTCGTTCGTTCGTGCATTTGTAAGAACGCAACTACGACAACAACAACAACAACAACAAAAACGACAACAGCAAGAAGAACAACAATAACAAAAACGTTCATAGAAACAAAGAAAGCGCACAACTTCTTTGTTCTGTTCTTTGCTTAAATAGAATTATTTATATTATATTAGGAGACATCATGACCAATTCTATTTATTTGTTTACCTAGTATGGGCAAATAATCTGTGTAATTTGATATTAAAGGCAATTAAATAAAATATTGTTTATTTTCATCTAAATAAAAATGTTTAAAATTTCATTTACCAGTTAATTTTATTGTTTTTTTTTCTCTTTGCTTCAAATTCATTTTTTTGTTTTTGGTTTGGTTTTACTTTCAAACCAAACTCCGCGACAAAATAAAACAATTTATGCCCGTAGCATATTTATGTACGTATGTATTGATGTTGATGTATGTCGTAATTTTTTTTATCGC